GGTGGGCTGAGTGGATAGAGCGTTGGCCTGCGAACTCAAGGGTCCCAGGTTTGATTCCTGTCAAGGGCATGTACCTTGGTTGCGAGCACATCCCCATTAAGGAGTGTGCAGGAGGGAGCTGATTGATGTTTTGCTCTCATTGATGTTTCTAACTCTTTACCCCTCTCCCTTCCTCTCTTTAAAATATCAATAAAATATATTTTTTAAAAATTATGAACAACAAATGCATATTTATCAACAAGTGAGTCTATAAATCAAGTGAATAAAAAATCCGACAAACAGAATAAACTGGTGAATAGAATAGAATCAGGGGCATAGAAAGGGAGTGGACTGATGTCTCGGGGGGGAAGGGGATGTGGGGAGTGCGGGAAGAGACTGGACAAAAATCTTACACCTATGGATGAGGACAGTGGCGGGGGTGTGTGTGTGTAAAGGGTAAGGGGTGGGGTGGGAACTGGGTGGAGGGGAGCTATGGGGGAAAAAAGAGGAACAACTGTAATTTGAACAATAAAGATTTATTTTTTTTTAAAAAAAAGATCAGCAATTCAATTGGTTCAATTCCCAATCAGGCACATGCCCCAGTTGTGGGCTTGATCTCCAATAGGGAGTGCTTTTGTCTCTCTATCCCTCTCCCTTCCTCTCTCTCTAAAAATCAATAAAAAACATTTAAACATTTTCTTTTTCAAATTTCCATTTTAGATGAGGAAAGTTATGCGCAAAGAACAACCAATTTTTGGTGGAGCCAATAATCAAACCTTTGTCTACTGAACTCCAAAGCCATGGTTGGCATTCTAGGGACATTTCCAGCAGTATTTGATTTTTTCCATTCTTTCATGAACACTCTCTTGAGAATGGATCAGGGTCATGGATAGGAATCAACACAATAGAAACAACAGTGGGTGTTAGAAGATGTAGATCAAGCATGTCAAACTCAAAGGCTAACACAGGCCAAATAAACAAGATTAAAGTTTAAGTGGGCCGCAAAAAAACCAAAAGCTTCAATTTTCATAGAAACGTAGGTTTATTTCAATACAGACATGCTGAATACAAAGGGCTGAAATAAATGAGTAATTGTTAACATAAAATAGAACATTTTAATAAAATTTTTTTTTCTTGAACATTAACTTACCAGACACTGAATAACTGCACAAATTAATAAGTGTAACACAAATAAACCTATTTTTTTTGTTCTCTGAAAGTGAAATATTTCCTGTTGTGCACACCAAACAAGTCAGTCCAAGACTAATGGCGTGGCAATTGACTGCTAAAATATTCGCTGCTAGTATTAGTGGAGAGAAATGGCCTGCGCGTAAGGTGTGTAAGGGTAATGAATGCAACACGTTTATAGTAATCAGTCATTAGTGAACGTTATAGTTTGTTATTAATAATTATGTATAACAGAATATTGTAAAAATTAAGTTACGAAATTTTTATTAAAACATTTCTTACATACCGTTATATTGGCTGGGCTGCAAAAATATTCGTTGTGGGCCACGTGCAGCCCTTGGGCTGCGAGTTTGACATACTTGATGTAGATGATACTGAGCCTGATTTTTTGCAGGCCTCTTGATTCAAGGTCTAAATTTCATTCAATTAACAAAAAATACAAGTAAGCAAGAGATTTTCTGAGCACCAAATAAAAAAAGTAATTTTTAAAATATTGAATAGTTTTCCATTGCTAATGTAACAAATTACCACAAACATAGCAACCTAAAAGCACATATTTATTTTCTCACAATTTCTGTAGGTTAGAAGACCCAGTGGGCTCAGCTGAGTCCTCTGCTTCACATCTCTCAAGGCCAAAATCAAGGTGCCTGCCTGGAGGCTCTGGAGAATAGTCTGCTTCTAAACTCATGTTGTGGCCATCCCTGTTTCCTTGCTTGCTGTCAGTTGTAGGATAATCTGTGGTCTGAGGAGGTGCCTATTTTCTCCCCAGGCTTTCCATGTAGTCCCTCCAGCAATAGCAACCCGAGTCCATCTAATACTTCCAATGTCTGCCTTCTGTTGAATCTCTCTGACTCTAGCCAGAGAGAGTGCCTGCTGGTCAGGGCCCATGTGATCAGTTTGGGCCTACCCAGGCTTACTTCATTTTATTTTGTTTATTTTTATTTTTTCAGGGTGATCTCTTTTAAAAAAATCCTCACCCAAGGATATTTTTCCATTAATTTTTTAGAGAGAGTGGAAAGAAGGGAGAGAGGCAGAGAGACAAACATTGCTGTGAGATACATTAATTGGTTGTCTCCCACATGGGCCCTGGGGCTGGGGGTCGAGCCTGCACTTGAAGTACTTGCCCTTGCCCAGAATCAAACCTGTGATCCTTCAGTCCGCGGCCAACAATGACGCTCTATCCACTGAGCAAAACCAGCTAGGGCTCTCCTCATTTTTTTTCTTCTCTCCTCATTTTTAAAGTCTGTGACTTTAATGATATCTACAGATTTCCCTTTGTTATATAGTACAGCATAGTTGCATGGTCCAAGGATTAGGTTGTGGACATCTTTAGGGAGCCTTCTGCCTACCATGAATAAATAATATGGTTGAAAAACAAAATCAGAGTAACATAAAAATACTTACTGAAAAAAGTCTTACTTCCTATTCTTTCCACCTGATCCCTCACCCATCCTTACCAGCTAACCACTATTTTTAGTTTCTTGTGTATTCTTCCAGTTAGTTTTTGTAAACATAGTATGAATATGAACATTATTCTTTTCCCTACTGTCCCAATTATGCCCCAATTAATTAATTAATTATCTGTCTAGACTTAGTGGGACATATACAGATGACCAGGAGTCAGGATAATGGCCTATCCCAGCCGTGGGCAAACTACGGCCCACGGGCCAGATCTGGCCCGTTCGGCTGTTCTATCCGGGACAGAATTAGTGTGCAATTACACAGGGTTTATTTACCTATTCCTAGTGGGTCCTAGGCTCCAGCAAAGGCCACCCGGCGATGCACACTGAAAGATGGACAACGAAGATGGAGACAGACAGGTGGCCACACTTGGTTCAGGCTCACGCAGCAGAGCAGTCAATCAGGGGCTTGTCTCACAGAGTGACGTGGAGTCTTCCTCTCAGGCTGGAGATAACAACTGGAGAAAAATCTTGTGCTTATATAGCCGGTAGTAAACAACTTGTGTCGTATCAGTGTGGGCCAGTCGGTGTGCCTTTGCTAGGAGCAGGGTGTTTACGCTGTATGGGCTTAGGGCCCTGGCTGGCAAACTGCGGCTCATGAGCCACGTGTGGCTCTTCCCAAGCCTTAGGAGTACCCTAATTAAGTTAATAACAATGTACCTACCTATATAGTTTCAGTTTTAAAAATTTGGCTCTCAAAAGAAATTTCAATCGTTGTACTGTTGATATTTGGCTCTGTTGACTAATGAGTTTGCCGACCACTGGTTAGGGATTCACATCAAGATAGTGGGGTGTTCACCACATTTTGGAAGTTACAGAGTATTGGGGTCTTTACACAGCAAACATTTCACACATTAATTATTTCCACACATTACAGGGGTTTCCTTATGACCATAACATCATTATAACACCTACTTACATTGAAGGTAGCATACTGTGTACTTCTGCGTCTTGCTTTGTTTCTTTTTAAAATTAAATGTCACTTGGAGATGCTTTTTTTACAGTGCATAGAGAAAGTTCTTCATCTATTTCTATAAAGCATAACACTCCATAAGTGGGTACTATAATTTACTTACCCTGTCTCCTGTTGATGGACTGCTGATCTATTTCTAATATTCTGCCACATAATCAATAGCTGTCAGTGACTAACTTCACACAAACATATTTTCTTCCATGTGACCTCTGATTGTTTTAAAATTTTGATTGTTGTAGGTAATGCTGGGGGGGGATTTGACCTCCAGGCCAACTGGCTGTGAGAATCAGCTGTGTATGCAGTGGGAGAACTTCTGTCCTCTGGGGAGGTGCTAATCTAGCCTTTGCCTGAGGCTATCCCACAAATGCCTCTGTGCAGGGCTTGGGTAGGGCGGTTCACACGGGATCAACAGGGCAGGCGGAGGGAGCAGTTATGGCTGCTCTCAGTCCCGTCCCCAGGGGCTCTTCCTCTCAGAGTCCCAGCAATGTATTTTCTGCACTGCGCCTCCTCTGAGTCTCAGTATGCTTTTCTCTATCCTTCTAGTTGTAGAATTTCCCCTCAGCCAGCTTTTCTGTGGTTCTGGGTGATGTCCATTCCATCTTTTAGTTGTATTTTTGAAGTGGTTGTGTGAGGCAGCAATCTCCGGTGTTTACCTATGCCGCCATCTTGGTTCCTTCCCCTGTTTTAAAATTTTGTTTGTTTTGCTTTTAGTTCTAACATCTCCAATGCTAGTGACAAGTTGGCTAGGTGACATGACACCATCTTGCCTTGGTGGCCCAGAAAATGGAGACTTTAGCTTGACTTTGTGAATCTGAATCATTGCCATACCTGGCTCGTCTCAATTCCTCCAAAAGCATCCTCAGTTTTTCTGTAGGACTTCTGACCATCCCATATGTACTTCCATTGCTCCACCATACTATACACCTCCTGGAAGCACCATTGGCCTCAAGTTGATGTAAGTGGTACCCCCCTGAAGGTTGCCAAAGGAGGAACACAGGAGACCAGAATGGTGAGGGATTACAAATTTATTTGATCATCCACATACCAGGTGGCTAAACTTGGATGGCTCCAGCAAATAGTGATGGGAATCAGCAGCTTTTAAAGAACTTTTGGCAGGCTTTTTTTCTGGGCGGAGTCTTCTTTATGCATACCCAGAGGGGAGATAATGGAATGTGGTCACCGCAAGTGAAATGTGGTCTTAGCAAAGGGAATATCTATAGTGAAATAACCTGAAAAGCCAGTATCAGGAGGGGTATCAACTCAATTGCTCGATCAAACCTAACACCCCCTGAGGTTATGCCACCAGAAGTATAAGCTGCCACCCTGTCCCCAAGTTACTCTGTTCCACCCTGTTACCCTGATAAGAAAGAAATTCCATTTCAGGTCCCCCATTATTATTCCCTTTGACCTTCTGGTTTGTTCATACTCTTACCTAAAAAGGATCATTTCCTTTTGTTATCAGAGAAATGTGTGGATGTCTGGCTAGTGGGAGTGGGATATCCCATTCCCCACTGGGTGATCATAGTTGGGTCCTTAAGATATCTTGCAAAAAAGAATTTTCTGAGACTTGTACAGGAGGATGACTGATTTTGGGTTTCCAGAATCCCATTTCTGCCTGACTGGTGTCAGTGGTTGAGCATCTACCTATGAACCAGGAGGTCATGGTTTGATTCCTGGTCAGGGCACTGAAAGATCAGACAGAGGCCGAAAATCAGGACTACAGGCTTTATTAGAGGAGAAGGACCTGCCGGGCTGTCTCGCAAGGGGAGAACAGCAGCATGTACAGAGGTGGGCACGCCTTTTGAGGTGCGGAATGCGGGCTTAGTGTACTTGGCGCATGCTGATTGGTGGCTTAATGTATGGTCCATATAGGAACAAGGGCTTAGGGCAGTGGTTGGCAAACTGTGGCCCGTGAGCCACATGTGGCTCTTTGGACCCTTGAGTATGACTTTTCCACAAAATACCACCTGCGGGCGCGCACATACAGTGCGATTGAAACTTCGTGGCCCATGTGCAGAAGTCGTTTTTCGGCCTGGGCGAGTTTATTTAGAAGAAGTGGGGGGTGTCGGTTGGTTGGGCGACTGGAGATGTGGCGCAGGCGGGCCGCGGGATACGCAGCATGGGGAGGTACATTGTTTTGAGGTACGTTCGCTGAGGTTGACCTCTTCCAACTCTTCCATCCACACTTGTCTATCTAAAACAAGTATACAAGACGAGTGTCAACCTCAGCGAATGTACCTCAATCAGATTGAGGACATTTTTAGCAAAGGCCAGCTTAGGAGTACCCTAATTAAGTTAATAACAATGTACCTACCTATATAGTTTAAGTTTAAAAAATTTGGCTCTCAAAAGAAATGTCAATCGTTGTACTGTTGATATTTGGCTCTGTTGACTAATGAGTTTGCTGACCACTGGCTTAGGGTATTTGGCAGGTGTGGATTGGTGGTCCAATGTATAGTCCATATAAGGCACTTGGTTAGTCACTCAGGTATTTCCGGACGGCAGGTTACAACGTCATACTCCACCCACCAATTGGGGGAAGGGAGGATCTATCAGGCACATGCCCAGTTTGCAGGCTCGATCCCCAGTGTGGGGCGTGCAGAAGGTAGCCAATGGATGATTCTCTCTCATCATTGATGTCTCTCTCTCTCTCTGTAATAATCAATAAAAATTTATTAAAAACAAACAAACAAAAATCCCATTTCACTTAATCCATTCCTGGAAGAAGTGCAGCTAGAAGAAAAGCCAATGTCCAGAGTTTCCGTTCAATGTTGGAGCTGGGTCCAGTTCAGCATTAGGCTAGTTATACACCATTAATCCACTGTGTGGGGTCCACATGATTGTGGGCCATGTGGGCCAAGATAGTGGCACCCCCTGTGTTATAGTTATGATTGTATTAGTATGTAGTGACCCCCATATTTCAATATTGAGTTGTAACCTAGTGTGAGACCCACAAAACCCGAATGTACTTTTCCAAATGAGTGAACACCCAGAACTTGTACCCTAGACCCATATTGCACCAGTATAGCACACCACAGCCAGCAGCCACCGATAAGGACCATCGTGTTTACTCAACCACATAAAAACCCCAGACTTTTGACACTCAGTGTCTCCTGCCCGAGAGAGGACTCCACATCACTCTGCAAGACGACCCCGAGATGCTCCACCGAGACTGAGACCGAATCACGGCTGCTCCCATTTTGGTCTTCGTCCTTGTCAGTGTGCATCGCCGGGTGGTTACACTGGTGCTAGGATCCACTAGGAAGTGGTAATAAACCCCTGTGTGATGGCATACTAACTTCTGTCTCTGTGTGTTGATGTTTATGACTTGGCTCGGTTGCCTTAGGCCTTAAAGATCCGAGGGGGACGTTATCCTGACCCTCAGACACCTGTGCTTGTCCTGACCAGGCTAAGGCAGAATATGTAATTAATAGAATTTGGGGTCAACTGGGACACCCTGCAACAAGAGTTCAAGAGTCCTGTGTGAACCACGAGTGCAAGAGAATAAATTCTTTTCTTTAGGAACTTAAGTTTCTCAAATCTTCCTGTGTTTGCAGGTGTGACTGACAGACAAATACTTTCCCTATGTTACCCAGACTTTATTGGGCATGTGTTTAAGGCAACTTCTTGGCAAAGCTGCACAAATAACATGCCTATAATATTTGGCTCCTTTCCAGTTTTTTAAGAACTAGGTTCATTACAGTGGTATCATTTTCCCTTTGGAGATCTTTGACTTCCTGGCCAGTCCCCTCTTTCTTTCATACTTTTTCTGTGTGTTTACCCCCCCACCCCCACTTGTCTGGAGAAGATTCATAAGCTGATTGTTCTTCCCCAACAATAATAAACTCAGTTTACTGCAGGGATCAGGCGCTCAAGGCACACACCATAAGCCTCTGGTCTTAAGCCAATTTCCTGTGCACCTCCACACCCACATCTCTGTGAGCAGATGGCTCATCTCTGCCTCTTCCTATTTGGTTCTGTAGAGGCCTCAACTTTCAGCTTCATTTTGAGACAGAAATGACTGAAGTCTCTTGAAGAGCTCCTCAGGTGGCCTGCTCAGCTCATTTCTTCAGATTCTTTCTGGTGACGTATAAGTGATACCGAATTTTTGGACTTGAACCCGAATTGTTTGTCTGCAGAATCGAAGAATGAGTCCACGGACAGAAAGTGGTATAGCAAAGATGGAGATTTATTGAAGAACAAGTACAGACTCTCTTGTAGGGAGGGGGAAGAGTCCCACTGGGTTCCTTTCCCTATGGCTTAAAAGACTGCAGATCCTGATGCCTGATATATCCCCTCTGATTGGTCAATATTCCCCTTTGACATGTGAGGTTCTCCCTCCTCCTTCCCTCTTGGCTTTCTTCTTTTCCATCTGAATGAAGGGCTTCCTTCTCTTTTTTGTAAATATAGACCTTTCCTGGCTACTTCTAGTTCCCTTGTCTTATGGAAATGTAACTGCACCTGTCTTCCTTGTGTTACGGAAATGTACCTTCTCCCAGTCTGTGGCCCTGTTTTTTTTCCATGGACCCCAATTCCAAAAATTCCTAATCCTGCCTATATTCCCCCTAAAATTCCTGCTTTAGTCCCCGCTCCGATTAGGAAACCCCAACTACCATTGAGGACAGTAGACGCCGGGTCTTTCTGCTGGCAAAGGGGGTCATAGTTTGGGGTGGCAGCCAGGGTGCCATCAGAAGCGGGCTACTAAGGGTCCATGGAACATGGATGTAGCAGTGCCTTCATTTGCTGTTCCATGCGGAGGACCAGTTGTAGCTTTAGGGCTTCTAAATGGGAGAATATGAAACATAACAAGCAATGGTTAAAGACGGGCAATAATAAAACAGTATAAACTAAGGCCTGAGGAAGTGGTTTTGATTGGTGATAGTGGTAGCATAGGTTGTCTTATAAACCAAGATTTAACATGTTTTACTCTGAATATACTTAGTAGTTAGGGATTTGGGGAGCTAGTATGGCTTGAGAAATTTACTATACCAGGTTTACAGAGAGGGGCTATAAGTAGGAGTATCTTGTGGTATTTCTGGGTCCCAGTAAGGACAGAGGTCTCCTCCAGGTACCAGCCCAGGGTTTAGAAGACATAAAAAAACAGAATAAGAATTGTAAAAAGGATTAAAATACTGATTATTTAGAAATAGCAGAGTATGTTACTTATCAAGCACTCGTTATCTTCCCAGGATCCCTTCAGAAGAGAAGTTTCAGGTCCTCTAGAGGTTCATATGAGTAATAATCTGGTGATTCAGTTGATGGTAAGACAGCTT